ACACATATATATAACTAAACTATATATCTATAATACATATATGTATAATTATACTTTAATATGTAAATATAGTCCCATAAAAAAATAAATTTGAAATAAAAATTACTAAACAAACTCAAAGTACATAAAATTCTTTCTATTAATTTTGTAAAGTTGTCAAAAATATAAATTTATAGTAAAAATTTAAATAAAATGTCAGTTTTAATCTTATGTGCTTATTTATACTCTTTAAATATATATATGTGTGTGTATGTACGTACATTGCTTTAATATATCTTAATATAATAAATATGCTTTAATATATGTCTTAATATAACATATTATATTAAATATATAATATATATCTTTAATATAATATGTATAATTCACTTGTATATTCTAAAATTGGTAAGAAGATTAATAAGAACAAAAGTTGAATAACAGACATAAGATGCAATAGGTGGGTCTGTCTCAAGCTTTAATCCTCCTCCCATAACACACCATGCTGCTGCAATCAATACTTGAGTGTTGTTCCTATGGTAAGATAGATGTGAAAAGAGCTATAATTTTGCATTGCTTGCATAGTCACATAATTGCTGGTGTTATGGCAGACATGTTGTGATATATTTGTGGAATGATGTGGCACCCTTTCTACAGGGTTCATTCACACAGTATTATCTAGATTTGTATTCTATCTGTGAATGTATCTAACACTTCTGCTAAAAATATATCTATAATTTTAGATAAAAGTTTATAAGTTATTTAGCTTCAAGAATGTTGTTTTTTAAATAATATATGGACAAAATATATTTTATATTATGGTACAAATTTATACACATGGCAAAACTGAACATAACATTCAAAATTACTTTACTTTTATTTAATATATGATAATATAAACTATACTTGATAATGATCCACTTACATACACATATCTACTTTTTCTTTCTTTCTAGATGTGTTATGTCTAATATTATTATTGATAAACTTCAAACTACATAATTAGAATATATATTTGCAACTTGTGTTACAATCTTAGAGATTTTATATGTATATTTTATGTATATAATAATATATATATGCTGTATGAATTATGTGACATTAAAATACAAATTATAATAAAATTAATAAATTAATTTATATGTAATTCCCTCAAGTTACATCAAGCAGAATAACTTATTATAAAGTTATATATCCACTATAAGTACTACGTTAAATGTTTCCATATTGTTACACAATTAACATTTTCAATTTTACTGAGATTAAAATATCAATATCAATGTTATAATATAACAAAAGAGAAAGTTATGAAAACTAGAAGTCAAATATAAAGTTTTCATTAATATTAAATAATCGCATATTATTTTATTTAATAAAATAAGTTTCTTTTAATCACTACCTGAAATACTGCAATATTTGTAAATTACACAATTTTGAACACACAAATTAGTTCACTTTAAATTTCGAAAGTAATGCAATAAAATGATGACCAGTTTAGTCAAATATAATTCCTCTTGGATCATAGGTCCACTATGATCTCATTATTAACAAAACACCTTTCGAATCGCCATTATACTAAACATTATACACCCCATGGAAGTGTTGCTTCGGCGAGTACGCCGGAACTTCCTTGCAGTCTCAGTCAATTGGCGTCATCCAGAAAGCGCGAAACCCTTATACACAGTATGTAATTGAAATTTACTTTTTTTTTAACTGACCCGGAAGACGATGTCACCATGTGTGCGCAAGCATCCCCTCGATCGTGCGAATTGCAAACTCCACGCTATTCCGTTCGGCGGCGCCCTGGCAGTTTTTCTTACAATCCGCGTCGCGTTCTCGTTCCCGATGTGACAAGAACTCGGATTCGGCGAGTTGATATAATGCACATTAATGTGCGACCATCGTCGCCATGTCCGTGGCAGAGCCGGCGCCAATGTCAACCTCGATCCGCAAAACTAAAACACTTAACAACCGCCGTTAACGCAACACAACGCAACACACAACACCACATTGCCGAACTGTCGACGGACACTATGCGGACACTGCCCGACCGTGTCGATAACCCTGTGAAATCATTCAAGATGGCTGACCGCAATGTTTGTTTCTAATATAAAATAAGTTTCACTTGGCGCTCGCAACGATCGCAAGCGTAAGTCAGGGAGTCGATTCCGGTTACGTTCAAAAAATTCAACGTTGAGGGATCATTACTTATGATAGGACTATTCTTCAAAACCTGCTACAGTTCCAAAAGTATGATCCAATCATAAGTGATTATTTCTTAACCGTTGTGCAACTGTTGAGTGGTCTGAGCGCACCCTCTGGGGTACGTTCCAAAATCCTACCTTGGTTACTAAAATGGTATATTTTACATCACGTGTACTATAGTTTTCGGTTATCAAGGTAAGATTTTGAAACGTACCCTTGATCATGCAGAGCTACGTTCCAAAATCTTACCTTGGTTACTAAAATGCTATATTTTACATCACGTGTACTATAGTTTTCGGTTACCAAGGTAAGATTTTGGAACGTACCCCAGGACTATACTCCGATTCTTCACCCGAATATATTTTATCTTTATTGCTCAGAGTGCTTTCCAACTTCGTACACAGGCGATACTGTGTAACGCTGTGTCCATTAGTGTGAAAAAGAGCATATCAGTGCGTCTCACTCACACTAGTGGACACTGTGTAACACAGTGTCGCCTGTGTACGTAGTTGGAAAGCACCCTCAGAGAGAAGTCAGATGGTGTGGAACCTGCGTAATGCGGAACTGTCGGAACGTTCGTGATTGGTCGTGACTTGATTCTGTCGATCCTGCAATCAAGTCACAACCAATCACGAACGTTCCGACAGTTCCGCATTACGCACGTTCCGCACCATCTGACTTCTCCATAGACTTATATATAAATAGACCCAGCGTTCTGTGAGAGGAGTTGTCCGCGTCTTCTAAAGGACNGAACGATATGCATCCAGGTGCTGTCTTCGTCGCTCCGCCGGTCTGGAGGGGGAACGTCGATGGATAACGTTGAAGGAAAGCGAACTTAAAGGCGCGTGTACCGCACTTATATGTGTTTTGCTCGAAATTCTTCTGACCGTGGTATGCTTGAAAA